TAAATTTTGTATTTACTTCTTAGTAAAGAAGTTTATACATTTTATAAAATACAAACGTTTGATGATTTTAGATTTTACGCACCATATCAAGATTTACTATACTTTTTATAACGAATTACGTACTAAGTTTATTGCAAAATTCAAATTTCGTTATACAGTCGAACCTCAATATAATCATCTGCCATATAATCACAAAATCAATATAGTCATATTTTTTCAGTTTCCAACTTACGTACTATGAAATATAGTCAAAACCTCAGTTTTTCATATCCAGAAAGCGTGATTATAGAGAGATCAGACTGTAACCAGTTTTGACTGTAATTATTTTTAAGCTATCAAGTTGGTACATAATATAATAGATTGTTTATGTACTTAAAATTTTATTTTTGACTTCTATATCTAATATACAATATTTTCATTTTTTCATATAATTACTTATTTGAATTAAAGAATAAAACTGTTTATTTTCATAAGAATAAAATTACTTATTCTCGCCAGAATAGCTTATATCATTTCGGATTAAACCCGAAATCGAACCATTTTTGGGTCTATAGAATATGGATAACCGGGTGAGTATGGCACAGGAAAAAGCTTAACATGTACTACTGGTAGGATTATAGCATAACGATAAACTGGACTATACGTGCTGTCTTGATTTTTATACTGTACTATGCTACATAAATCTTTTAAAATAACCTATATTCCGAACCCAACCCCTCCTAACCCTTTTTTAATACAGTACATGACATGAAATAGTACATGTAGTTCCTCTATACAACCTACGTATTACTGTTCTACTTCCACGTGATGCATGCCATACTGACCATACCATATACGTACGTATTCGTATTACCCACCATTTTTTGGTGATCAACTCGAAATGATTTTTTCGGTTTGGGTTTCGGATTGATCCGAACCATTCGGAACACTAAGTTCATGAACTATACATGATTGTATTATTTAGTAAAATATCTCTTTCCGATCAAGGTACCTCCCTTAATATAATATCCCCTTCCAAATCATTGTATCCCTCCTATTATAGCATCCCGAGTACTATAGAAAATTTATATTACAGTCGCATCTCGTTATAGCCACAACCTTTTATAGTCGCACTCTTTCCGAGTCCCAGATATTATAAAGTATAAGAAATTTGACCTCCATATAGTCACAACTTATAGTCACCAGATTTCTGTTTTCATTTTTTTTTGCGGATGAACCAGGCTTTAGACGTTCCCCAAAAAGTCAATTCGTGCAATGAGGTTCAATTAATGTGATAGATTCGTATTCAGGGGTCTTACTTACAGTGAAACTTGATATAGCAGATACTCGAACTAATAAAAACTCGATAACGGGTTGAAGATTATAATAGATACTTCTCGATATAACAGATTTTTTGAAAATTTTCACTAATGGAACGGATGATTCGTTATATCCAGTCTCACTGTGTAGATTAAAGAACAAACTCAAACAAATTTTTACGATACTTACGCATTGTCTCATTGAATCATTGTCACTATGAACAGTTTCAATGAGATATGTGTACAAGTGTCTTGGCTCTGCTTTAAATCTCGATGAATATTTGTCAATAGAATACGTGTACAAGTGTCTTGGCTCTGCTTTAAATCTCAATGAACAGTCATCAATGAGATACGTGTGCAAGTGTCATTACTAGAATTGAGTGATAATTCAAGTAAGGAGCTGGTTTCAAAAGAATTATTACAGAATCAACTTTTGAAGCTGGATATTAATCATGATGATGTCAATGGAGCTGCAGCTGATGATGCTTTGTTTGGAGCCAAAAAATTTGATGCAACAAGTAGCCAAAGGAATGCATAAGCGGATTAAGGTTCACCGATTGGATAAATGACAAAATTAATCTGTTATGAATCTTAATCACAGCTGATGATTCTGTTGAGTGCTAGTATATCTAATTTCACTTAGTAATTTTTCTGTGAAGTTTGACTTAATTGAGTTTTTGATTTCTATTTTTTTTTAGTGTGGTTTTCGGTATTATTATTTATTATCACCGATACTTTCATAACATCCGCCAGGAAGTAGAACTCGAAATTTGTGTATCATTTTGCACGTGACGGGTGTATATAGTAATGTTTGTTTGATCTTTTAGATCGCACTTTTCTTGGCACTAAAGATCTAAAAATTACGTAATTGACAATTGCGAGCAAAAAAGTTTTGGGATTCAAATTTGTTAATACCACAATAGTGTGAGAAAAAAACTTACAGCCAAGAGGTTCGTTATTACTGTAGCACAATCACTATTGCTCGAATTACAAGAGTTATTATTCCTTTTTAACTTCAAGTGTTTTACCGTTAACAAGCGTCTTACCGTTAACAAGATCCATTTCGCCTTCCACTTCTAATGCATTTTAGCAGCAGCAGCAGCCTGCAACACTTACGCGTGCACATCGAAGTACGATATTTCAATTTAACAACTACTCAAGATTTTGCATGATGGTGATTCCTGTTTGTCTCATATGACCTTAGCATCGAGTCATGTACTTTACATGTACACATAATTCTGCCACACATAACTTGTAGATCTCTCTTGGCGTGAAATTTCGCAGATGCAGTAATCACAATCATGATGACGCCATCAATTCTTGGTTTCCTTAAGAATTTCTAAAGAGAATTTACCATTATCTTGGCAAATACAGGTACATTCAATGCGAACAAATTTGGAATTAAACATAATTTTGTTGTTGTTTTGCCAAACTTAGAATTAATCATTGACGTTCGTTAATTGCCAAGACTTTCGTATTTTAGTATTTATTTGTTCGCTATTTTACAGAAACACACAAGAAAACTAACGAATACTTAGTATCGAATTATAAAAGGGCAAATACTGTCGCGCTGGGGTTTTTTATTCTTCGCGCGTATAAAAAATAAATAGTAGAATAAACTCAATTTGAATTAGACAACAAACAAACTTGTTATATACATAGACTAAATAAACACCATTACTTTGGCACTTCCATTCGCATTTGTCACACAACTTTAGTTTGCCAAAATAAATACTCGAAACAATCATAAAATAAATAATGTCTCTAACACCACCACTACAATCCGACAAATTCGAACCAAAAATATTAAACTGTCTCTGGCACCAATGCTTCAAGGTGTTTGACGATCCCAAAATATTATATCATCATTTAGCGAATGACCATGTGGGCAGAAAGTCGACGGGAAACTTGTGTCTCGAATGTCGTTGGGATAAGTGTGAAGTTGTTACGGCTAAAAGAGATCATATTACTAGTCATTTGAGAGTGCATGTCCCGTTGAAACTGCATATTTGTGAGGTATGTAGCTTTTAGTTAGTGGCTGTAGTCAGTATATTAATTCTCGTTGGAGATATTTTGGATTTTAAATTTTTAATTTAATGGATGTACTTAAATTCTAGACATGTAAAAAATCGTTTAAACGACCTCAAGATCTAAAGAAACACATAAAGATCCACACCGAAGAACATCAGCGTCAAATTTCAATGCAGAAAAGTGAACGCATGAAAAGACAACTTCAAGCTTTCACGCCACCACCATATTATCGATCAGAGCGCTCTTTGTCTGTTGACTCTACTGCTTTCTCACCATATCCTGTCCCATTGTCGCCGACTGTTGTGTCAAATGGTTCGAGTCACGATAAAAAAGTTCATGGTGATTTGAATTTATTATTTTATTACTATTGTTATATTATTTGATTCGTTCGAAGTTTAATTTAATTTACCTATATAAATAATAGCATATTCGTCGCCATATCGGATCCATTTAAAACAAAATTAGAAAAATACGAAATTACCAACAAATAATAATCATTTTATTTAATTATTTTAATTATTATTATTTTGGTGAGAATTGAACCTCCTCTCATTATTAACGAGTTGTATGCTAATTTACATATAAACATACAATTTTTTATAATCAGAAACAAAAAAATTTATTTATTCACTAAACAAAAACACACCAAACAGATTTTGGGAATAAATCTATCGAGTTTCTTGTACTTATATATCAATATTAATACTCTTCCAACTTTGCCATTTAATTTTAAATAGAACAATTATTTTTTCTGCAAAAATGAATAAACCAAGAGTCTCAGTGTAACTCTTCAAAAACTCTTATCATTAAATTAAATGACATAGTTTTTACAGAGGAGGGTACTATAGGCAGTGCTCTCTCTACGGTAAATTGCACATGCCAGACAGGTGTTTCTGGATAATTGCAAGGTTGCTTCGTCGGAAAATACAACCTCGCGTCAGTTATAATCGAGGTGATTGTGTGCCCGTTAAAATTGGTTATCTTTCGCTTGCTAGGAACGCGTCTAGACAAAGCAGCAATATAACCGAACCAATGACAGTTTGCACACCTACTTCGAATCTTGGGTGTTTCTTCAAGCCGTGCTTTGATTTCAGCCGCCGTAAGGAAATGATTTGAATTATGACTTGACCGATTTGGCGGCGCATTTCAGGCGAAATTTGTTGTGGACAACCAGGACGACGAATATCCGGAAGTTGTACATTTTTTCGAAGCGAAGCAACGTAACGTTCACAAGAGCGAAGTGGAACGCCAGTTTTTTGCGAGATTTCTCTACCATTGTGCCAGCCACAGTCTCATGATGAAAACGGATTATGGTGAAAATTTGCGATATCTATTATAATAAACTATGAATAACAATTATACTCATGTACATGTACATGTACAGTGGCTCACACATGTAACGAACACGAAAATTAACTTTCTAGCATTTTTATTTCCATGACTATTAGTTTGGACAAAATAAAAAAGTGTTCATTTG